CTTCCTTTGGAAGACGGGTTCTTCAGCAGGTGGTTGCTGGAGACTCTAATTAGGGCTCATATGTTTCCCACCCATTGGGACTGTGGAGCTTGGGTATGTCCCACATGTGAATTCTCCATCTCCCGTACTGGAGAAGGGGCGTTGTCTTACCTGAACGCCTTTTCTCAGTACGGAGATGGAGAATTCACACCCACCCCTTTAAGGTCAGTCAGACTATTGTAGGGGTCTGAGAGCCAACACCTCGTCCATCTTCAGTCACTTCGCCCTCGTTAAAGACTGGATCAGCAAGAGGGGGCGTGTCTAATTTGACTACTTGGTCTCAAGAGCAGGCATCCAATGAAAACCCACATGTGAATTCTCCATCTCCGTACTGAGAAAAGGCGTTCAGGTAAGACAACGCCCCTTCTAGGTGATTTTGATCTGTTTATTTCTAGTGTTAAATCTGCATATAAGTAAAGATTATAACTTTATAACAATACTTGCTTGATACTTTTATGTTTTTGAGTTTTTAGAGCACCAGCTCTAAAAGTTTAAAGTATTACCTTTCCTGGGATCAACAGGGTTATAGTGGGAGAGTTATAAATGTTACGGGTTCAGGAACATTATGTGAAAGAACACTTTAGATCAGTGGTTCTCAACCTTTTTAATGCCGCGACCCCAACCGGTTGTAAGTCGAGGACTAAACCGGTCGTAAGTCGAGGACTAAACCGGTCGTAAGTCAAGGACTACCCAACCAGTCGTAAGTCGAGGACTTTCCCTGCCCGGGAGCGCCGCGCATGCATGGTTCCGCCCCCTGCGCCGGCCGAGGCGTAGCTGGCAAGTGGCAGAGAGGGAGCAGGCCAACCACCAGCTGGCCCAGCCCAAGGAAGGTAAGGCACCCGCTGGAAAAGGAAAAAAATGGCAGACAAAAAAAAATGGTGGACAAAGAAATGGCGTACAGCCTTGCTTGGCGACCCCCGTGAAATGGTCGATCGACCCCAAATGGGGTCCCGACCCACAGGTTGAGAACCACTGCTTTAGATGCCCTTTATGTAAGGCTTCAGATTTTGTTCTGAAAAAGATAGTTGGACATATTTAAGTGTGTTTTTATGGAGTATGCAAAACCTTCTGGTTTTGATGTTTAGTCTCTGACATTTCATTACAAACTGTGTTTGGAAATTAATGCTGAGTCATGTGCTAAAGAATGTAAGTCTGTCACAACTTCATCATATCAGGAAGGATTTGAATTGTCTCCTAGATTTTGTTTTGTCATTTTTGGCTGTGCTGTTAATTTTAAATATTGCCAATTTAAAAAAATCACGTTTTTATTAGTGAAATATTTTTGTAATGAACTAATTTATAAATATTGTTTCAATAAAAATAAAGATCATTGCTGAACTAAATAGATGTGAACATGTAGACTATTAGTTGGCTGTGTATGATGGAATGTAGTGAGGAGATGGATTCCCAGGAGGGAGGGGGTGCATTCCAGAGGAGTACCAGGGAACTCAGCCCAGATATCATGAGGCCTAACACCTCCTTAATACAGGTAGGCCTCTACTTAAAATAGTTCATTTAGTGACTATTCAAAGTTATAAAGACATTGAAAAAGGGACTTATGACCATTTTCACAGTTACAACCTTAGTAGCATCCCCATGCTTATGTGATCAGAATTCACATGCTTGGCAACTGGTTCACAGTTATGACCATTGCTGTGTCCCAAGGTCATGTGATCACCTTTTGCAACTTTGACAAGTAAAGTCAGTGGGGAAGCCAGATTCACTTAACAACAAGGTTATTAACTTATCAACTGCAGTGATTCACTCAACAACTGTGGCAAGAAAGGTCATAAAATGGGGCAAAACTCACTTTACAAATGTCTCACTTAACAACAGAAATTTTGGGCTGAGTTTTCGTAAATAGAGGATTATCTGTTGTTCACAGAGTGTATTATAAATGCAGATAGTAGAATCTTTAGTCTAACAAAATTGTGTCTGTAGGTGTAAAGCAATAAAAAAAAAAACCCAGCTTGAAAGAATTACCATGTGTCATTCTTGGTTTTGGGCCCGACACTATAGAATAGGGTTCCCCAGCCCCCGGTCTGTGGACCCATACCGGTCTGCAGCATGCCAGCAAGTGGGCCACACAAACAAGCAAAGCTCCATCCTCAGGATGCAGGCAGTATTCAAAACTACCCCCTCTCTGGTCTGTGGAAAAACCTTTCGCCATGGCACCGGTCCCTGGTGCCCCAAAGTTGGGGACCTCTGCTGTAGAATATATATTTTGCCCATTTGATTAGCAACTGATGATTCTTCTCCAGCAAGGTACCTTTACATATCACATTATACCTGGCCACGCAACACTTTCCCCTGTAGGTAGTCCTCTATTCTCTTGTGATACTTTTCTATATTCAATTAGAAAAGTTAGAAATAAACATAGTTTCAGGATTTTGTGAGATGAAATTCATATTAAACTTTAAATAATCTTACAACTTTTTTTTTTTGCTTGCAGAGATTTGAGTCATAACGATTTGTTATCCTCTAATTGGAGTATTGATTCATCAGGTCAAATACTGCAAGAAGTGTAAGTTACTTTAGCTATAATGTAATAAACTAAGGGATATGACATAATATTTGAGAATGACATTGAGCATAAAAATTTACAAAAGGCTTCTAATAGTATTATCAGTGAAAGAGTTAGTAAGGAAATGAAAAAAGAAAATAATTAAATACTATAGGAGCTGTGATATAATGGCATATTAATACTGAATTGCCTTACACACTGTCAGTGTAGGTTGCAAGTGCAAAGGAAAAGAAGCCATTGGGATAATTGCTTCTGCAATCATTTCTGAGCCTTTAATATTTCTGGATCGTGTGACTAGGAAGGAGAGGGAGTGGAGTTTAGAACAGGGGTTCCCAACCCCTGGTCTGTGGCCTACTACCGGGCATTGAGCATTTTGGGCCTGGGCTATGGAAGTGGTAGGCATGGGCATGCGTGTGCATCCATGTGCTCCATTTGCGCGAGCAGCATGCCCACCACTCACACAAATGGAGCTATGCGCACACTTGTCGCGCACACAGAGTCATCCCCNCCCCCCCCCCCCCCCCGCCAGTCTGTAAAGCCGAAAAGGTTGGGGAACTGTGGGTTTAGAATATACAACTTTGTTTCAGGCCACTGCCTTACCGTCTTTGCCATAGGGATATATTTATTCCCTCTGAAATCTCCAGCTAGATCTGGTTTATTTTTAAGCTTAATCTTTCTTTTCACAGCTTCTTTCCGCACTCCAAATTTGGTCAATATGTGTTACCTTTTCAGAGTTTCATGTTGATGTACAGATAGAGTCCTGAGCACTTTTTTTCTCTAGCATTGGGTTCAAAATATTTTTTTGTTTAAAAAAGTCTGACTTTAGGCCAGATCACATCTGATGATCACAAGGGCATACAGCTTCTTTGGTACAATAGAAAAGAGGTTAGGGTCTGTGGTTTCTGTCCCCTTCTGCCCCAGTTCTTACTCAGACCTATAGCCCTAAGGTTTCCGGTAGCTCCCCAATAAATTATTAGATTAATCTGACCTTGATTGCCTTTTTCTAAGTGTAGCCAATTTTGGCTAGGGAGTACACTTTTGTTTTTAATCATTAGAAATAATTTAGCTGAGAAGTGGACCGTTTGGATTTTATAAGGGACAATGATGCCATTTTTTAAATTGAAGAGTGTGTTTCTTTATTAGGCTTACATCCAGATAGAATTCTAGATTTAGAAAGTTGCATTGAATATATATCTGTATTATAAATATAGTAATATTGGTGATAGTTTTTAGTTTCAGGTTCTGCTGCTTAATTTATGGTTCTTAAACTAGTTTGCATGTATAGAAATGTTTTTCATTTAATATAGAATTTAAAATTAACTGGTGTTTACAAGTTTAATATTCTCCAGAAAGAAGTAGATTTCTAGTTCTGAGAAATAATACATTTATGAATCCTTGGGAATAAATTCTGTTAATTTAACTGAAATAATAACTCAGTTTACATTTGAAGCTCTTATGTATGTATTGTTTCAATAATCCTTGACATAGTATTTCACTGAGAATATCAGTGTTCTTCTGAAGTAGCACTTCAGCACAGACTTCTGTACTAGTCCATACTTGTTTGCACTGAATTCAGAGGATAAAATAAATGTATTTTAGGTGCTTTGAATTGTTTTGCTTTTTATGAAGTTTACTTCTGAGAACGATTGTAGATTTTTTAAAAAATGCACATAGAACAAGAATATTAATGCATGGTAAATTTACTCTGTTTTTGTTGATATGACTTCTTTTTGAGTGCTAATAAATAATCTTTCTTTCAGGAAGATGAATCATAATGAACTAAGTGGCATTCCCCATTTTGGTGAACTAACTTCTAATATCACATTACTATCACTGTAAGTTAATATTCACAAATTTTTCAGGATGATTTTTAAATTTAGCAATGTAGAAAATAAAATTGTGTTAGATAATCAACTAAAAATGAAGCATGGGGATGTTTGAAAAGTAAATTGAAAAATTTATGTAATGTTATGAAAGAGCAATTAAGAGTAAGAGTAATATCAGAATTCCTTTGTTATATTTATACTATCTGTTCATACTGAACATTTAAATAAGTTAAACTGCTCATCAAATGATCCATCAAGCTGTTTGGATAGTAGCCAATCCAATCATCAATTTATATCATCATAATAAGCAGCTTCTAAATATTATAATTCACATTTAATCCACAAGATGTTTATTTGTATTTTTTAACGAGCTGAAATTTCAAATATGATATAAGTATGGCTTCTAAGGTGATTATTTATGTTTTAGAGTGCATAATTCAATTCAGGAGATTGTCTCTGAACAGCTGCAACCTTATTTCTCCCTGGAGAACCTTGATCTCAGTTCCAACTTCATCACAGAAATCAAAGTTTCTTCATTTCCACATATGCAGCTGAAGTACCTGTAAGTACATGGGAACACTTAGCATGAGGCATTGAAAGTAGTTTCTTTTCCAATTTGTATATCTGACCTAATTTTTTACCCTTTATATAAAAAGATTGCAAGGGTTGTTAATGGATTTCTGTGCACCAAATAACTTCTGTCTGTGTGCCATTTTTATGAAGTCATGATAATATTGATGAAATAATAAAGCTTCACAATGGTACTAATGAAATTAGACATGTTGTGAAGAGTAGATGTAGTAATGCAGGAATCACTGAATAGAGGAATGGATGTACAGGAGACTGTATGGATTCCCAGATTAGGAGGTGGTATCCCTTAAAATATCAGTTGCAGGAATAGTAGAAACTTTTAATATTAATTTATTAACCGTGACTGGAGATTGGAAATAGGATAGATAGACTTTAATAATATCAAGCAGATCTTCACTATATGGAATATTAATATGATTCTAAACATGCTAAACTGTAGGTTAGTGAGAGTGCGTGAATGTAGTATCCTCCCAGATTTATACATTCTCAGTTTATTCTGCAAGACAGTTCAAAAGCTTTCACTTTTAGTTAATGGCAACATGTACGTTTGGACCAAGAACTGTAATTAATAGTAACTGTGGTTAATTTAAAACAAACCATTAACTGATTAATGTTAATCACACTTAGTGGCTTCAAAAACACAAGGCACAATTAATTAAAAGCAGAAACAAACAACTCTTCAGCCATGTGGGAATAGAGTCAGCTCAATTGCAGTTTAGTGCAATGCCTGAATGTGGACAGTTTGGAAAAGGAATGTTTGTCTCAATTGTCTCCATCCCTCAAAGTTGTAATATGTTTCAGATTCTCTTACATGATTGTCCAGGTTGCTTAAAAGAACTGTGAATAAAAGATCATTACTTAATTAATTCTGATGACATCAACTAACATAGAGGTCACCAACCTTTTCATGCTGGTAGCCTGGAGGGAAAGGGAGCAGCTGGGAAATTTGTGTATGTGTGCACATGCGCGAACGGGGCCATGAGCACCTCCACGGCGGTAGCAGCCATTTGTGCATGCGCGCAGGGGCTAGTCTCCACTGCTAGCACCCGCGTGCATGCGCAAACAGGCCACGCAGCCCGCATGGGGCTAGTGGCCCCATTTGCGCATGCATGCATGAGCTAGCTGCCACTGGTAGCACCCGCACGTATACACAAATGGGCCGCGCAACCTACATAGCACTAGCAGCTCAATTTGCGCAGGCGCTATCCACCCCCGCTAGCAACCGCATGCAGGTGCAAACAGGCTGCACAACCCCCATGCATGCTAATGGCCCCATTTGCGCAGGCATTAGCCACCGCTAGCCCAACACGCATGCACAAACGGGTCCCCGGGTGCTAGCGCAATTGGGTTGAGTGTGCATAGCCTGTCCTGCAGGCTGGTGGCCAGTAGGCCACAGTCTGGAAGTGGGCTGCGGCCCATTGGTTGGGGACCCATAATCTAACAATCAGTGAAACAGCATACTAAGTTTTATGAAAGTAAATTTTCTTGAAGTAAGGAATGGTTTCTTTGTTAAATTATTCCATCAGGATTTAACATCTACCTTTTTAAAACTCTGTTTTATAGGAATTTGAGCAACAATAGAATAACCACTCTGGAAGCAGGCTGTTTTGATAACCTGTCCAATTCCTTAATAGTTCTAAAACTGAACAGAAACAGAATAAGCATGATTCCGCCGAAGACTTTCAAGCTACCTTATGTGCAGTTCTTGTAAGTGATTATACACTGTCAATTTGAAGCCCATATATGGAGCATGTTAACGAATGTCATAAATTCATGCCAGAGAAGTAATTGATTTTTAAAATGTTTTTAATGTATGCGTCTAATAAAAGAATAAGTGTATTGGATAAATGTCAAGTGGAAAGTTTCAAAGCTGCCATTCCTAGTTTACATGCTAAAAGTTATCTTTTCAGCTCTCAGCTTCATTACATGGGGATACAGATCTGGTATCAAGTTTCATTTGCTTCACTGACATTTTTTCTTTCTTTCTGAAGAATTTCTAATGGTAGGCCATTTACACTATTGAATCTCTGCTCAGTGCAGGAATTCAAAGCAACAATAGCTCCCAACATACCATAATTCTGAATTCTGAGCAGGGGATTGAATTATAGGTAGTGCTTGACATATGATTGTAATAGAGCCTGCCCATTACACTCTTAAGTAGTGATGGTCATAAATCAGTCATCCACATGACTGACCTGATCAGCTCATTAAGTGAACCAATGGCTCACTCTGGGCAGGGTTTTGGCAAAACTATCATAAAACATGGGCATGTAACTGTGATAGCTGTAAATGCAGGCCGGTTGACCATTAGAACTTCAGAATCAAGTTTTAAGTACCCCAAGAGGAGGTCTGGCATAACTGGTTATAAGTTGAGATTGCCTAAAGATGGTGCCTTCCACGCCTTATACTTTATTATTTTGTTGGAATAAAGTTCACATTGTACTATAAATATATTACTCTTCAAATAAAATAATTGTTAATATATGAGGGAAAGAAATCTTTATCCTCTGCTGAAGTCCTGGTATAAAGAGTACCAACTAAACTCTTTGTTCAGAGTGGAAATATTGGTCATCTGAGGGTTTATGTATTTAAATATATGTTAGTACTAGGTATGGCTTTGACCATTTAGTTTTTGTTTTTTTGATGGTTAAATTAAGTTCAGTTTTTGTTTTTTTGATGGTTAAATTACATCAAAGTCTTACATCAAAGTCTTTGTAATGTTTTTTTATTAGAATAGCAACCATAGAAAAAGTTATATTTGTGCTTGATTTCTGTTACCTTATATTTAAAATTTTCAGGGAACTTAAAAGAAACCGAATTAAGGTAATAGAAAGCCTTACCTTCCAAGGCTTGGACTCATTGAAATCATTAAAAATGCAACGCAATGGAATTAGTAATCTGATGGATGGTGCCTTTTTTGGACTGAATAATATGGAAGAATTGTGAGTATATTATATAACCTCTTCATTAAAAATCTTAGAGTTGATTAGCTGAAAAAGCTGATTAGGTTTAATGATAGATGTATTGATTTACAAATTATATTCAATCATAATTTTAATATAATTTTTAATATTCCATAGTACACTTCAGAAAACAATGGCAGATAACAACTGACAACAATAATATTAAAAAATGAATGAATATAGAATTGAATGTATTTTGCTTTGTACTTAAACATTTCCTTTCTTTGCCTTTAAATTCTCATGGCTTCTTTTTTTTATAAATATTTTATTAATTTTCTATTTTTGTAATCAAGTGCCTAATAGACAACGTGATGACTGAGTCCATTAGTGATTCCGTGGTACATGTAAGCTTCTTCAAACTAAATCCAATATTACACCCTCTAGTACATCCTCTCTTCTTCTGGTAGTAGACATTTTTCACACTAAGCAAATAGAATTCTTATTGTTGTTAGTAAATATACAATTGCCTGTCAACATTTGTTACATTTTTCTAATAGTGTCAATAATATCAGTTTAGAATATCTTTTATAACCAAAGCATATCTTAATTGCATTTGCACTCAATATCCATTTATTCAGTCCATATCCTATTTTTGCTTTTCTCAATTTTAATTTCCCATCCATGTTCGAAATATTCCAATCATTTATAATTTCAGAACAAGTTATATTTGGGTAAAGTTTCCCTTATTCAAAGTTCTTAGCATATTCTTATTTCCCTTTTCATGCCAAGATATGATATTCTGATTACAAATCCTGTCTGTCTAGTTATAATAATACTACTATTTCTAGCAATCTATTCTTAACTATATTCAAACATCTAATTGGTAATATAACATCCCCTCTAATAGGTCAAAGCTTCTATTTCCTTCAGTCTTACTCTAGCTTTCTTTCTTTGCCAACTAACTTTCCAAGTCAGTGCATTTGGATTATCAAATAATTCTTCCTCTATTTTTATGTATATTATTTGAAACAAGAGAAACAATTTAGTTAGAGTATTTTTGGAAGAACTAGCCCATTTATATTCATTAAACAGGCTCCCTCCTTCTCCAGTTAAGGGCTTTATCTTCCATTCTATCAGCTCTCCTTCCTTATCCTCCAGTATGTTCTTGAACCTTGGTTTGTAAAATGTCTTTTCCATTTCGAATATTATCGTTGTGTTTTCTAAGTCTTCATTTATCTGAGTCTGGTCGTTAGTTTCTTTCTTTAGATCCTCAATGTTTGTGTCAGCATTCTATAGTTTTCCTTCTATTTTCTGGATTGCTGGTTCCTTCTCTGTAGTTATTTTCTGAATTTGTAGATTTAAATTAGAAAATTGTTCTTTTTTCTCCTTTGGGTTATTTTTAATCTCATCATGAGCTAAAGCAATTGTTTCTTGTATTAATTTCAACATAGAGAGAATTTCTTTCTGTGGTTCATCAGTATAAATTTATCCAACCAACTAGCCGTTCTTAAACCTCCCCTAAGCAGAAATAAGTAAAATTCAAATTTTTCTGTCCAATGAGAAATATATCCTTCCTGTTCAGGGAGAAAAAAGAACCATTAAAGATTGTTTAACAATCAAGATTTATAATCCAAAGTGTTCCATCATATCAGGCAATAGTGTATGTTTCTTCTACAGGAAAATAGTTCCACAATACAGTTCTTAAAGTCAGTATTTGTGTTCATAATTCAGACAGGCCAATTTTAGAGTAATATTATCGTCTCTACCACACAGATAAGCAGCCCCCAAGTCTGTTCCTTTTTCTCAGCTGCAATTCTCAAAAGTAAAAGCTTCCAAGGCCAGCCAAAGTCTTATCTAACTCTGGACTTCGAGCCAGGTTTCTTTTAGGCATAAATAAGTTGTAATGCTATAATTCACCACTAGATGTCATCAACTCCGTTTTTCAGTTTTTAAATCCAAAGCTTATAATATATATGTATATATATATTCCAAATTGGTCTTGTAGACTTCTCCTTTTTCCCCAAGTAATTAATTTGCCGCTTTCCTGAGGGAATGGGGTAGAATTTTCCTTTCCTTCCTCGGGGGGAGTGCTTTGGGCAGATTTTCAGGAAGAGGTCTTAAAGTCATAAAGAGAGGCTTAGGTCTCACCCAGTTTCATCCACATTTCTGTAAGATTGCTTGATAGTGCTTGTTGTCTTCCGTTGACAGAAGCTTCTGACTGGCTAAGCGAATGTAGCCAGTCTTTCCCCAGCCAGTTTGGAGGGCTTCCTCAGATCAAACGGGAGGGCTGCCATTCCCCTGCAATCAACGAGGGTCCCCTCGTTGCTTGCCGCCTCTACAAGGTGACTTTCGACACTTTCCAGGTCCCCCAGTGGGGCGAAATCAAACGCGAAAGACGGAGCCCCGTCTTTCTGCGTCTGCTTTGCCACGATGTCAAAACCGGAAGCCCTCTTGGCTTCTATGTTGAGGACTTGTAGGTACAATAGTATTTAACAATAGCTTTGGATTTCTACTAGCAAATTGCTATATATGGTTTGCATTTAAATACATACTTTTAAATACATAATTTAAAGCATACATGACATTTTCTTTTGATTCTGTAGAGAGTTGGAACAGAATAATCTGACAGAAATAAATAAGGGATGGCTATATGGCTTGAAGGCACTGCAAAAGCTCTATGTCAGTCAGAATGCCATTAATAGGATTGGACCTGATGCATGGGAATTCTGCCAAAGTCTTTCTGAACTGTAAGTACTTATCTTTGTTTTATTGAGGTAAATATAGTGGAATAAATTGCTATCTCAGTTGGGAATGTTTCTTAATATACCTTACAAAAATGGATTTGTCTCCTCAAATCAAATTGATTAGTGGTGTCACAACATTTCAACAATCTTGTTACTTACATTTTTCTCTTTGTTGTGCCTTTCATTTCAGAGATCTGTCATACAATCAACTGACTCGCCTAGATGAATTTGCTTTTATTGGAGTGAATGTATTGGAAAAATTAAATCTGAGTGACAGTAGACTCAGTTACATTGCTGATGGAGTTTTTAAAGGACTCTCATACCTACAGACTTTGTAAGTGTATATAATTTGAGGGAAAATAACATTTATCAGAAGAAAGTTAGCAGGAATAAAACTTAAGCACTCTCAGCAGGGTGTTAATAAAGCTTACAAAAGGAGATGTGGGTCCCCTTTCTGATGATTGACCTTAGATTATCCATATGCATTACAAAAGGCAAAATATGAGAGGTTTATTTTATCAAAGAGCTTGCTCAGGTTTTTCAGTACTTCTAGGTGCTTTTTAAAAGATTCAGCATTTAAATGGATCTTGTGTATAATGTAACGGATGTTACATTGAACAATTCTTATGGAGTCATTGATAGGTGTTACTTTACCTTACCTAACCATCTGTCTTCATGAACTCCTAAGCAAGCCTTTTTTTTCAGGCTGAGTTCTTTCTATGCTAGGATAGGAGGCTGAAGTATAGGTAGCTACATATTAAAAATATATAATAGTGCACAAACCTAGCATCTGAACATATGCAAAATACTTTTCCCTTTCAGTCCAGCGAAGAGCAACCTGTCCTTCATAAAAATCAGTTAAATGGGAAAATGGTATTTTTCCTCAGGAATTTCCAGCATTTCTCTTTCTGGAAATTAAGCATTACTCATTTCCCCAGTGAACTCTACTGTAGCATACAAGCATCAGTTTTCAAAAGGATAGTACACACAATCTTTCAATTTTTCCCCCATTGAAATCTACTCAAGGCTTTTTGTCTTTTCTGTAACATTAATCCACATACCCCCCAGTTATTTTTGTCAAATGGTTCTTTATTGCTTCTTTTCTTTCTGATGCAAAAACAGCACAGTCAATTTTAAATGGTTCTGAGATGGAAAAAGCCTCCAGAGATGTGTAAAATGTTTGAAATTCTTCTGAATGTATAAAACATAAGGAACATGGTTAACCTTCATATTATTATCCTTAGAAATATTTTAAAAGACGTACTTGGAAAGAGTGTATTCTTGGGTATAGAGATGGAAACTGCACAACAAAGTGTAAATGAGATTGAGTTGGGGTAACAGATTTTTTTCAGGGAGAATAACTAAAATATAACATGAGGAAATAGAAAGCGATGGAACTATCCTGTCACTCCCAGCTATCATTAAGTATTATTGGGGAAGAAAAGAGAATAATCTGTTGCCCAAATAGTTAACAGCCTACAGAAGACTTGCATAATCAGTCACATTGTTTTAAATTCAATGCAGCCTTTTAAAGGGATTAGTTAAAGCTAATATTTTAAACGTGGAGTAGCATGAAACAAAAGAACAGCAGATTAATTAGTGAATTTTGTTGGAATCTTGAGAAACATCAAGCTGCTGAGAGGCTAGTTTTTTGGTTCAGGGTCATTGGATGTTTACAGACAATGGTCTGAGAGTGATTAACAGGACTCCAAGTATTTATGCCTAACTGGGCATGAAAAGTAAATGCCTATTGGCCCACCCAGTAAGGACCTACTCAAATGAACTTGTTCTAGTTATATATGACATCGGAATGTGTCAACTTCAACAGCCGGAAAAGTTGTCCTTTAATAGATCTTTTCCTGTGTCTGTGGCTTTGCATTGTAAACTAACTTACTGCCCTGGTTTCAGGCTGGAATATAGAATATGTGTTGCATATGGTATAGTGTTTTTTGCCTGAGCAGGGGGTTGGACTAGATGACCTCCAAGATCCATCATTATCATCATCATCATCATTATCAAAGTGCAGCATAGCATTTATTTTCCTATACAAGCTTTCTGTTAAGTTATAAAGGGTAGGGGAGAGATTTACTGTGAAACTGCTTTTATTAAGGAACTGGTTAACCATTTATATATATAGTTAATAAATTAATTCCTGAAAATAATAAACATCTTAAATATTCTCTCATTTTGCAGCATGAATACAACATCAGGGAGGTTATATTGATGGTGCAAAATGTTGGAACATTATACAGATAATCCTTGACTTACAACAGTTCTCTTAGTGACTGTTTGAAGTTACAAGGGGACTGAAAAAAGTGACTTATAACCATTTTTCACAGTTATGACTGTTGCAGCATCCCCATGGTCATGTGATTTACATTCAGATGCTTGACAGCTGACTCACATTTATGATAGTTGCAGTGTCCCTGGGCCGTGTGATCACCTTTTGTGATTTTCTGACAAGCAAAATCAATGGGGTAACCAAATTCACTTAACAACTGTGTTATTAATTTTTAGCAATTGCAGTAATTCACTTAAAGGTGGCAAGAAAAGTTGTAAAATGGGTCAAAACTCACTTAACAAATTTCTCACTTAGCAACATAAATTTTGGGCTCGATTGTGGTTGTAAGTTGAGGACTACCTGTACCAAATGATAGAAACAGAGTATTTTAAAAAGTTGTGTTGTGTTGATTTTTTTGTACATTATCATTGATAAACTATTGGCTAAGTTTCTGAATTCACTAAACTGAGAAGTAAAAAGTTGTTATAAATTTATCATTTGTCCTTAGCATTGCTAAGTTTATTAGATTTCAGCAAAGCATCCTCTTTTCCTCTTAGGACAGGCATGTCAAACTGCCGGCCCGCGGGCCGGATGTGTCACACTGAAACCACGCCCACCCCATTGCCTGCAATGGGGAAAAAGTCGCAATACGTCGCGCAACGTTGTGACATCGCGAGTTTGACATGCCTGTCTTAGGAGTTCACTAAATTGATTTTAACAGCTTTCTGTTCAATACTTTAGAAAGGTGTAGAGCATAAAGGGATAAATGAAAGTCAAATTGGCATATAACAGAATTTGTGAATAAAACCACCCACAAGTGTCTCTGAAAATCTTTTTTTTCTGGATAGCAATTGTTCAATCAACCTATATCTTATCTATTACTATGCTAATCTTATAAGCTTCTTGCTTCATTAACACAAAAGAATTTACAACAATGGTACAACATTAATTCAACTGAAGAGGCTCACCAGTTGGTGGTAAATGACATACTAAAGCCATTAAAGACTAATAGATAGTGCTCAGCTGGAATAACAGTGCTGCTTGGTTTTAGCTCTAGTGATTTTTCCATAATTCCACTTCCCTTGGGGTTATGTTCATGTATTTATTCTCCAGTCATATTCTTTTAACCAAGTTATATCTCATTAGGCCAGTATTTATACTAACGAAGTGTGAACATCTGTATGAGGATAATTTATTGCAAAACTAAACCTTAAAAATGGCAAGATCTGAAAGGGAGAGGAGAAATTGGGGTTGGAAGAATTTGTTTGGTTTTTTGGCTTGGTCAAATATTTATTAGGAATGTATATTTATATTTTTAGAGATCTACGGAATAATGAGATTTCCTGGGCCATAGAAGATGCAAATGAAGCATTTACAGGACTTGAGAGACTCAATAAACTGTAAGTTTTAAAAGTTGCAGAATTGATTGACTTAAAAGTAAAATCTTCAGAGTATGTGACAGTTTGTTTGATTGACATTTTTAGAAACCTTTCACATCATTTAAGACTCAGAACTGATATTAAGAGTATTGAAAAAAGAATAGTTGAGCATGTCAGGTCTTATAAATGTGATACAAAAACATTCTCATCTCAGTTTATTAAAAATAGGATCCTAAAAACTTATGCCTTCAAGAAGGCAGGACTTTATTTATAACATACAGATCGACGACATTAGCAAGTATTGCGGACCCAATTGGCAAAAGAAAGCTTAGGACCCTATTGGTTGGAAACATGCGGAAGTGGATAGACAATGGCTAAAATGGTGAAGATGACGACATAGCCAAAATGTGATTGTAAACTGTGGTATATCTTGGCATACTATGTGGTCATAGCTATGGTTTATTGAGTAAATCATAGGTAAATATGTCCCTTTAAAAATCCAAAGTGCTCCTAGAGGCAATATTGTAAGCAAGGGAAGGAATCATTGCTTGTTAAATCAGATTCTGTTCCATTCCTCCTGTTTAAATATTCTTCTGTGGATTAGTTAGAGAAATGTTTATGGAGATTCTCAGTCATCCAGATCATGGTTGTCCCAAAGGTGCTTTTTCACGAGGTAACTGAACTTTCTTGTTTTTGTTTGAAGACATTTTGGTTCTTATCCAAGAGATCTCCATGGATGAGAAGCGAAACATCTTCAAATAAAAACAAAGTCCAATTGCCTCTTGAAAAAGCACCTTTGGGATATTAGTTAGAGAAGTGTTTCTCATGTGCTGACTAGGGAATTCTGGGAGTTGAAGTCCACAGAGCTTAGAGTTGTCAAGTTGCCACAGGTGGGAAATACTGAGTTAGGGAGGCTAGAGCAAAGCAATACATTCAAAAAAAAAGTAAGCCAGAAATAAAAATTAAATGTGTTCCATGCACACATTATACTCAGCTGTGCTTGGTAACTACAAACCATAATATATTTTTAACCATGTTTATTGCTGTAAAATTGTTTTATTTACTGTATCCATTTACTGTGTCCATTCATATATAATAGGATAATAAAAGTAAATTACATTATGGTTTAGCATTACATGAAAGCTTACCCTGGGAAAGCTACAGTGAGGGGAAAAATTATTTGATCCTCTGCTGATTTTGTACGTTTGCCCACTGAAAAATGATCAGTCTATAATTGTAATTGTAGGTTTATTTTAATAGTAAAAGACAGAATAACAACAAAAAAAATCCAGAAAAACGCATTTCAAAAAAGTTATAAATTGATTTGCATTATAAAGAGTGAAATAAGTATTTGACCCCCTCGCAAAACATGACTTAGTAGTTGGTGGCAAAACCCTTGTTGGCAATCAGAAGTGAAACGTTTCTTGTAATTGGCCACCAGGTTTGCACACATCTCAGGAGAGATTTTGTCCCACTCCTCTTTGCAGAGCCTCTCCAAGTCATTAAGATTTCGAGGCTGACTTTGGCAGCTCAAACCTTCAGCTCCCGCCACAGATTTTCTATGGGATTAAGATCTGGAGACTGGCTAGGCCACTCCAGGATCTTAATGTGCTTCTTCTTGATCCACTCCTTTATTGCCTTGGCCGTGTGCTTTGGGTCATTGCCATGCTGGAATACCCATCCACGACCCATTTTCAATGCCCTGGCTGAGGGAAGAAGGTTCTCACCCAAGATTTGATGGTACATGGCTCTATCCATCATCGCTTTGATGCGGTGAAATTCTCCTGTCCCCTTAGCAGAAAAACACCCCCAAAGCATGTTTCCACCTCCATGTTTGATGGTGGGGATGGTGTTCCTGGGGTCATAGGCAGCATTCCTCCTCCTCCAAGCACGGCGAGTTGAGTTAATGCCAAATAGCTCAATTTTGGTCTCATCTGACCACAACACTTTCACCCAGTTCTCCTCTGAATCATTCAGATGTTCATCAGCAAATGTCAGACGGGCCTGTACATCTGCTTTCTTGAGCAGGGGAACTTTGCAGGGGCTGTAGGATTTCAGTCCTTCACAGTGTAGTGTGTTACCAATTGTTTTCTTGGTGACTATGGTCCCAGCTGCCTTGAGATCAATGACAAGATCCTCCCATGTAGTTCTGGGCTGATTCCTCACCATTCTCATGATCACTGAAACTCCACGAGGTAAGATCTTGCATGAGATCCCAGATCGAGGAAGATTGACAGTTATTTTGTGTTTCTTCCATTTGCGAATAATCGCACCAACTGTTGTCATCTTCTCACCAAGCTGCTTGGCGATAGTCTTGTAGCCCATTCCAGTCTTGTGTAAGTCTACAGTCTTGTCCCTGACATCCTTGGACAGCTCTTTGGTCTTGGACATTATGGAGAGTTTGGAATCTGATTGATTGATTGCTTCTGTAGATAGCTTTCTTTTATACAGGTAACAAGCTGAGATTAGGAGCACTCAGCTCGTTACCTGTATAAAAGTTACATGGGAGCCAAAAATCTTGCTGATTGATAGGGGATCAAATATTTATTTCACTCATTAAAATGCAAATCAATTTATAACTTTTTTGAAATGCGTTTTTCTGGATTTTTTTGTTATTCTGTCTCTCACTGTTAAAATAAACCTACCATTACAATTATAGACTGATCATTTCTTTGTCAGTGGGCAAACGTACAAAATCATTAGGAGATCAAATAATTTCCCCCCCTTGCTATATAGAAGTCTGTCCAAGGAAATTTATAGCAGGACTGCAAGTATATTTTTTTTAAAAAAATAAAACTTTTTGTAGCCTTGTGTATACCGATTATTTTTTTATTGACCCTCACATTATAAAGGAAAAAAGTTTTAGTGCGGCTTCATTGAATCAGTTATCATAAGTAGTGTTATATAGTTGCTATCTAGTAAGAATGTATTTTGGAGAGCAGTTACTTGTTGGGATTTGTTGCTTTATTAAGTATTTTCTTAAAATCAGCCATATACCTTGTATGCAGTCACAAAAGAGCAATATCTGCTCTGGGACACATGCAGAGTGAGATTCCCACCCCGCCGCCCCAGACCCTTCCTCTCAATTGGAGAAAGAAAAGGTTCTTTTACAACAAAGGTAGAAACGGATCCCAGGTTAGGAAAAGGAGAGAAAAAATACTGTTCTCTTGAGTCTCCAATTAAAGTTTAGAATCTACAAGAAGCTAAAAAAGTGCCAGAGAACAAACAGAGAACTTCCGCCTCAATAATCTCTTTGTCTCTAATGTATACCTAACAAGTCGAAATAAAAACTGTAAGAATTTTAACTTTATTTTTTTCTGTGTGGTATTACATAGGCCTTATTGTTTGTGTACAGGTTGGGTATTTTGTGTAACCATATAGTTATATTCCTTTTTTTCTTTACCAACTTGTGAGATGAAATCTAATGTAGTAGCAATCTCTCTTCTAGATCCTGTCACAACTTGCTAATTGTAGCAGACTGGCACCATCTTGTGGTCTACCTAAAACATTGCCTGTGTTTTTGTAAATTATTTTTTTTATTAAAATAAATTAGTATTCATATACTTTCCACTTTATTTTTTGTGATACTTGTTACCTCAGCTATGTTGCTACAAAAGGCAGAGAACATAAGTTATCAAAGGCCTTAGGTTTGTTTGTTTTTTTACGCCAATCAATATTTGTGTTGCTTCATATAAATATTTTTTTGGCTATTTGTTTTTTCAAAGGATTCTTCAAGGAAACCAAATTAAGTCAATTACAAAGAAAGCACTTTCTGATCTTCAGGCCCTGGAATATCTGTAAGTATATCTTATACTGTTTAGGGGGGGGGGGGTGTTGTTTTTCTGTAGAACATATCCCAGTTTTAAAAATTCAATCATGAATACATGGTTCTTGTTTAATTTTGTAGAGATCTGACCAACAATGCTATAGTATCTATTCAAGAAGGTGGTTTTTCTCAGCCTCTTCTTAAAGAATTGTAAGTATTTAATCTTGCAAAATGTTAAATTCAATCAATATTTATAAATTAGCTGCACTGAAAAGAATTTCTATCTGTAACACACTTTTTAATCGATATGGATTTTTTTTCTGATTAAAGCAATAATTTGATTAGTTAAACTAGTTTTGAATTATCTTCCCTGTGACAGAGGTCAGAAAATCTTTGCTCACAACTATCTTTGAAGTGGTTTCTCTGAATTATTTACTTTAAAAAAAAAAAAAAATACTTCAGAGGCAAAACTTATTTAAGTTAGGCAATAAATACAAAAATTCTGAAAAGTAAAATGCAGAGTGCATTAAACATTTCAGATAACATATATAATAACTGTTGAAGAATAAAAGCAGATAAAGACCACCAGCATCAAGACATCAAAGAATCCAATGAATTGTTTCACCAGCTATATACAAGATTGTGTTTAAGAAAAGATCTATACAGTATATATCCAGAATTCTCTCTCTTTCATTATACTTTGTTGGATGATGTTTTTTAAGTTAGTTGGTTGATAGGAATGTAAAATATTAAAGGTTAACATCTACAATACATTTTAGTAACATCAAGCAGATAATACTGAAATGTTAATGAAGATTTTCAAACATTTTAAACAGGAATAAGCAGGAAAAACAATCATGCCCTTTGACTATAAGCAAGCTGTTATTTCTTTGCCTTCCAGCTTACAGCATTTTTCCTTGTGCCTTATGTTTTCAGGTTGTTGAATACTAGCAGCTTATTGTGTGACTGCCAGTTGAAATGGTTCCCACACTGGCTTTTCCACAGCCATTTGCAGGACGCTGTCAATGTTGTTTGTGCTCATCCTGAACGGCTAGCTGGAAGGAGCATTCTCAGTGTGAACACTGAAGACTTTGTTTGTGGTTTGTGTTCTCTTACCTTTTTAAAAATATATATATATATCATTTTATAATTTATTTATTTATCATTTTATAATTTATTTATTTATTTATTAAATTTATATACCGCCCTATCTCCCTTACAGGACTCAGGGCGGTGAACAGGCGATACTAAAAACCACAATAATAAATAAATAGTTTCTGTTCTAAAATCAAATTAAATAACAGGCCTGTTCTAAAAACACCCCATACAAAAACCCCCACTAAAACATAATCAAACTACGCCAGGCCGGCCGCACGGAATAGATGGGCCTTCAGGGCTCGGCGAAAAAGGCGCAGGTCCG